AACTTCAGTTATATGACAGTTATATTGGGTTACAGGATATTAAATTAAGTTTGTAATTGTTAAAAAATTTGTTAAGTTATAATTGTAATAAATAAAAATTTGAAGAAAAACTAATTAATTCATTGATTAAAAACAAAATAGTTATTTCTTTAGTTAACTGAAATTATAAAGCACTTTTTTATACTGAAAATATGGTTTCTAAATATAAATGATAAATCGTTTTCGATTAGTTTTCTAGTAAAATTGCTTAGTCTGAACACCTTGTCGGCAGTATGACGTCAGAAGCGATTAACAAAGCGACTTTTGACGCAGTGTGAACTGGACTTTTACTTCTCTAATTATCCTGTGTCTGTATTAATGTGTATATTCACTAGTAACAAACATTAAGAAAATAATTTTTAAGACATTTATTCGAGTTCAAAAGGCTTATTCCAGGATTGTCTTCCCAGCTTATTGTTTCACTGAGTGATTGGTTGTGGGGATTACTACGCAGACATTTCGATAAAATAAAAAGTGCTGCAGATACCTTTGAACCCAACAATACTGTTGCAATTAGGCATTGCCAAAATTTGCTTAATAGAGGCTCAATAAAATATGATCTTTCATACATTAGATCTATCTTTCATTGCCTTGTTGATACATTGACCAATCTAGAAATTAGAGACCAGCCGCTTAGTAATTCCTTGGATTTAATTCAGCAAGTTTCTAAAAAACTTGAAAATGGATAATGTTCAATAAACAAAACAGTAAAGAACAATCTAAAAGGCATACTTAGGAAAAATTTGGGAATCCAAACTATACAAAATATTTCAGATATACAATCCTTTAAACTGCCACCATTTGTTTCCAGGCCATGGTGAAAAAGTGAGGGTGTCAGTTTATCGAAAACGACATGCAAATAGCAATGTCAAGATAATAAGCATAATTATCACTTTAGTTTATGTTACATTTATTGTTTTTCTCTCTTATTAAAAAACCGGTTCAAAGTAGTTTGAACTACATTATTTCCTCGAGTCATGCAGATAAATGTAGCACTTACCTGCAGAAAATGCCGAATTTTCTCTAAATAAGCATGAGCTTCTTTCGCAGTTACTAGAGGACTCTATGTTATCCTTGAGAATCTTTCAATAACATCGCAGTTCTCTTATCAATACCGTCTGAATTACAACAAAAGGAAATTGTGATTCTACCTTTATTCTTCTTGCAACCTTTCACAGATACATGAGCAATCGTTTTGTCAACTTGTAATCGGTAAAATAAACGGTTTCATGTATGCTGTATACATTTTTCATATCATACCGTTATATTATTGTCGACAGATTAGTTATTCCCGCTTCTAGAACATCCAAATCAACTTCAGCAGTTTCACCGTGTTTCTTTCTCATGACAAGCCATGACGCTGTTTAAATCGATGTAGCCACCCATTGGTGTAACTAAAATTTCTTATATTCATCTTCTGCCAAAATATTTCTGCTGTTTTCTGATCACATCATCTGTAACAGTGCCATTCTTTGCATTTACTTGCGCAATTCAATTCCAGTTTTCTAGTGGCTCTATTTTCTGAATTCATCCACTTTCTTTTTTGGTTTAAAATATATCCTACCATCCTTCTATTTACATTTTTCTTCCAGACAAGAGAAAAGTGACTGGTAATATATTTTTCAAAACAGGATAGATGGATTTCACTATATGCCCAGATTTCTTGTTTTCGCTGACTGTAAGGATGGTTTTCTTCTCCATTGCGTAAAAGCCTAAAACAATCGTAGTACAATATATACTCTACAGAAAGAATTCAGAGCACGAAACGATTTAAACAGTTCCAGACTCGACTGACAAATAAGTATCCTGCTCTTTGTTTGGACCTTGTACAGATCTTAGCCGTCGTAACAGAATTTTAGTTCATAATTATCCTCACATTACTCATTCTATCACATTATTCATCACTCTTCATTATTACATACTTATATTTTATTTCAACTTCTTAAATTTGGAAGTTAACATTACAATAATCGTAAAAAGAAAAGATATCCGTTTAATGTATAACCTATAGGCTATAATGCAAATAAATTTTTTGACAATACGAAATTGTATCAATAAAAAAAAGTGTATTAACAACTGTTTCTGTTTTCAATTCCATCACTTTTCGTCTGAAAACCTTTATGGACTTAGCCGAACCCATGATTGGTTCGACCAGGTCCAATATGGGAGCAGCTGGGTGATGAGAAACAGATCAACACCGAGTCCCTAAGAGCGGTATCCTGACACATTATTCTCTCGATCATCCAACCGTCACAGTTTTTTTAATAATATAATATTTTTTATAAATTATTTTGCTTCAATTAATCCAAATTGCAAAAAATAAATAACATTTAAATACGAAAAAACTAGAAGAAATGTAGCTTATTTCTAAAATAATTATTAAATACAGTTAAAGATACAAGATGGCGCTAAAATTCCAACAGTAGATAAATGCCGTTTTTCTCACATATTTTTGTCCATAAAATCGATCTGTTAATTTAATTAAAACTAAAAATAATTACAGAAATTAAGAGATGGAATATTCATAAAATTTATTATAGATTATTCCAAAGAAATAATCTCACACGTAAAAGAATGATTATAATGAGTTGCTGCAAATAAAATTGCAAAATGGAAAAATCTAACCACATGTTATTTGGATTTTGTTATCATAGATTAATTACTTCTCTCTATTTTAATAAATAATTAGCAACTCATCCAATCAACAAACACGCTTTAATATTTAATAATTTATTGGCATTAGAAAAATTTTCTTGGCGATTAACAATCTTGAAAGTAATTAATTATAATCTAGTATATTATAAACATAAATTGTAGTATTATTCTATATTTTATGTTAAAAGTATGATAAATGTAATATATATTACCGAATTTTAGTAATTCAAGTATTTTACTACGATATAATAATAAAAATATTTTTTAAATATAAAATTTGTAAAAATTGTCTTTGTGATATTTTAATTAATCATAAAAATTTAGTAAATTTAAAAAATAAATTTATATATTAACGAAAAAAACCCCGAGATCTAGCAGTAGCCTACAAGTAAAGATCTATTATGAATCAATGTAATTTTCCTCCTATTAGGAACATTTTTTCGTTTTATTTTTTTAAAATTTACTAAATTTCATAACGATATTTTTCTATTTAATTTAATATTCTAAAAATAAATGATATATTCTTTTGACCTTACTATCCAGCTGCATTAAACAATCTTTCACCGCTTTAATTTTCTGTGTATTGTCTGTAAAAACCAGAAATAAATAAGAAACTTTTAATAGATTTGTATTATATTTTTCAGTCAAATAATCTAAAATTGCAGTATATATATTTATAATCTTTAAGAAATATAGAATTTATTTATTAAAATTTTATTCTGATATTTAAAACATTGTGTCGATAAATATCAAGAAAGAAAATTAAAATAATATGTAATATAATAAAATTAACACGTATATATATACATATAGTATTAATATATCCGTGATTAAGATAGTCCGGTTAATCATTTAAAAATGTTAATTAAAATATATTATTATTTACATTATTAATAATTATTATTCTCTTATAAACAGTTATTAAATATTCTCATAGTAGCTAAAAAACATTATCGAAACAATTTACTATATACATTGTTAATAAAAGATGATTTATAATTATTTCAAAATAGAGAAAACTTACTACAAATTCGGTGTCTTATTCTGTCAAAGTCAACTCTGTCACATCCGCAATAAATATCGGAAACTTTGAATAGAAGAACGATTACAAACAAGAACACATTAAACATCATTTTTCTTAGAAAAGAATTTCGGACAGTTTACAATACAGTTATTTTTCTATTAAGCTATTCTGAAACTAATATTAAATAATATTAAATGCGTTTTACTTCTAGACAATAAACCGGAAAAAAGGAATTGTTTGATTTGAGACAGGTGTTCCTAAACATGCTATGCACAGAATCAATGAAGAAATGTATTTAATGAAATTTGAAGCAATAAATATTTTGAAATGTATATACAGTCAAATATTATTTTATAAAGATTTTGTGGAGTCAGTCGAACTTTAGGAGAGTAAGAGTATCACAGGATCCGGTAAAAGATTATTTGATTTTCAAGAACCCAATAAGTTTTATATTTTCGTTATTTTAATTAACGTATATAGGCCTATATAATCAAATATTCCATGCTTTAGTATAAAATATTTCAATATTATTATTTACTTTTTGTCAAATTGTTTTATTAGATTTGCCATGTGACTCGAATTGTTAATAAACTATTACAATATAGAATTTCATATGCTGTATTTCATTCAGAAATTTTTATCTGCATTTATCTGACTATCTAATATATTGGTGAACTAGATTCGCTTTTATGAATTGTTGTAAAGCTTGCGGAAAAGAATGAAGTTTCGTCAGGTAGACAAAAAATGGTATTAGGTAATTTTCTTTTAAATGCTCAGACTGATATTGGTATCAGGAAAATTTTTTAGGGAAACATCGATGAGAATAATGTTATTCTTTCGAATAGACTGTATACAAACTATTACATTTTACTCATAAGAATTTCCAAACAAGAAAACCAGTGGAGCATATGTTCAACATCGATTCGAAAACTCTTATGTATAAAAAAAAACAAGAAATTCATTGAACGAGTACTTAAAATTTCGGCAACGTAATATTCTAGCTACTTAGAAAACGTGTTATATATTTTCTGTATTTGAAAAACTTTAGCTTTAACAAATTCTGTTTGAAGAAAATTGGAAGTTTATTTCAGAAAACTTATTTCTACATTTATTTTGAATTTATTTGTAATTTTTATCTATTTTGAATAAATTACTTGTTTTTATGTCTTTAATTTTTTAATTTTTAAAAGAAAATCAAGTTTATAAAATTAATTTCTATACAAATCTGAATGAAATCATTAAGTTAAATTTAAAAAACGTAAATTATTATTATGATATTACCACAAATTTCAACATCGACTCTTGCTTCGTTTTTGCTTTAATCTGAAATAAATAAAATAAATAATATTAATGAAAATTTTGATTCTTAACATTAAAAAATATAACGTAATATTATCGTAATATATTACGATTTATAAAGATTTATTCTAGTTATTTTATTAAATTTTCTCTTATGATAATAAAAACAAAATATTATTTAAAGTAATTAAAACAAAAATAAACAATTATTAATATTTTAATCATTTTAATACTGTAAATACTTACTACAATATGTTTTAACGAATTCTTGTAACAAATAATATACTGAAAAATAAAATATTTTATACAATTAACAAGGCCAGTATCACTTTTGGCATTTCATAAAATGTTAACATCTAAACTAATATGTGTTGTTATTATTGTAAAATCAGTTTAGTTAAAAACTTACTTTTTTAAATGACTGACAATTTTCTTCTTCACAAAATTTCTTCACTTGAGATTTTCCTGATGGGATAAGGTCAGTGCAATTCGACAAGCTTATATCCATCTAAAATTTCCATAATATCATTTCTTGTTTCAATATTAGAATGTAAGTCCTTACTTAACGTCGTTTCATTATAACGTTGACGAAGAAAAAATATAAATACATTTGTAATCATTTACAGTTGTTGTTGAAGTTTCTTTATAAACACGATTCGATAAGAATATGTTAACCGAATTCTTTTCTAGAGATCTGACCATTAAAATTTGCATTTATTATACTTTTACCTTTTTTTAAATAATGTGAACTTATATCCACATTAACAGAAAAAGACATCGGTTAATGTCAGTATAAGTTGCAAACACGACTTATTCCCATTCACCACTTTTAATTATGTAGCCTCCTCTATGGNCACAATTTCCCCTTCCCTTTCCACTCTTCAACATTTTCACCCTCTTGGCCTCTGCTACAAATCTTTCTCTCATTCTCTCCCTTCGTATTTTCCTTTCATCCCCTTTTAAAGGCTACACCTACGAGTACGGCCTTCTTCCCTTTCCTTATTGTATTGTATTGTATTGTATTTACATGTGTAGGTCATTTCATTGTTATCCACATTTGATATCATCACTTATCACATACTGCCATGACGCTCATGTATGTTCGCTACAACTGTCAAGAATTAACGCGATTGGCGAAGCGTAGTGACAGCGGGCCAATAGAGAGCGGGGTCCTTACCATGATGCGGTTTGCGCGCCAATTTTCGTACATGCGTTAATCGAGTCGAATAATTTGGCCGAATATTCGGCAATTCGGCCACGCTCCTGGCCGAATATTCGGTATTCGGCTTCAGGCCGAATATACTATTCGTTGCAACACTACAAATTATCCAATTTTAATTATAAAAAAATGTGAAATTAAATGATATTCATCCCATAGTAAGTCATAAAAATCAATCATGTCGATTATGATGATTAAAAATTTCTTAGAAAAGTTTTATTTTACAACAATAGACTATAGTTTAAAACAAAGAAATATCGCATAAAATTTTAAATCAAGTGAAATGAATAAATGTATCATTTTACCATTATTAAATTGCACACAACAATTCATTATTTTCGGGATATTTAATTAATAAAAGAATATTTAAATTTGCTTATTTAATTTATAATTTAAATTAAATAATCCAGTTTTTCAGAAACACCTATCTTAAAAATTAAAGAAATTCAGTCTTAAATAATTAAATTCCTTTATTGTATTTAAACGAGTAAAAATTAAAAAATAATGAGTTTTTTTTAATTACATTTTATCTTTAATTACATTTTTAATTACATTTTATCTTTAATTACATTTTATACACTGAAAAATCAAACGTAATTATTCAAAACTTTTTCTGTGAACAGAATATAATTGTTTCATATCACTAGAAACTCTTAATATTTGTTATTTAATCTATAATTTTTCTTAATTAAATTATATATATACATATTTATTTTCTTATACGAGAGTAATTTTTCTCTATAGTAGTCCCTCGATTTAACAGACTAATTGGGAAAGGAGTGCCGAAAGTTCGTTAAATTGAAAACATATATTAATTTAATAATAGTCATAATTTACAAAATGCATTATGTGCTATTATAGTGTGTATATAAGAATAAAAACATTATTAAAATGTGGATTGAGTAATTTACACTCATTGATAAATATCTCAATGTTTTTCAATGATAAACCTCAACTTCGAAATAATTTCTTGCGGCATCCTTACTATTTTATCAATATATGGTATATTGTTTCCTTACATTTTTTCAACATTATAGTACTTTTCGTACTTTTAGTAATACACGTTAGAAGTGTTATGGCCCTGCTCAGTCCTATATTTCGCGGTATCTCGGTTGAAACGTCTGACTTAATCTTTTAGTACGCTGTATTTCCGAATTAATAAAAAGATGTAAATTTTTCTTTTCGGGCAGAAATACTTGGCCCGTTAAATCCGAAGGTCTCTAAATCGAGAGCCTACTATATTGATAATTTCAAGAATTTGCACTCAAATGTTCTAAATCTACTACTTGAGTCTATAGCTGTTTGGATTGTTTCCAAATAAAAACAATTGCAATTGTATTACAAAATTTATTAGATTTTTTGTAATCACAGTAATTTTTACAAGAACATTACTTTAATATATTTAATGAAAATACATATTGAAATTCTTAACGTATAATTGTAAATTTTGATACGACAAATATCGTAAGTTAAATGATAATATATATAATTTAAACATAATTGTCTGCAATATTTAAACTCTCAACAAACAGGATGGTGAATTTTCTATTTATTTGAAGTTGCTGTTAACACATTTCTAAAAATAAAGAAATAAAATTATATTATAATTATATGATATATACATAAATAAGATATAAGATAAATAAATGTTCACAAGACGCGTTGTCGTTGTTAATATAAGAAATAAAAACTATGTAGCATAGTGTAGCATGAGTTAAAATTATTTGGTAATTTAATAATAATTATTTTGCAAATAGAATTATTTCGTCATATTAATAAGTTGACATTAAATCTAAAACCATTCAGCATAAGCGGCAGTTTTATTAAAAATTAATTCTACAATTAAAAGGTCCAATGTAAAAAATTCACTAGGTCACATTTTCCTGTTATCAAGATAATTGAGGTTATAGATCTTAAACATTTCTTTAAATAATTCCATTATATATTTTAAATTAGCAAAGATAAACCATAAAACGTATCTTTGTTCTGCATTTTATGTAGTTGTACAGTTGTACGTATTCGTTTGGTATACAAAAATAAATACAGTATATGGAATAAAGGATTTTTTCACTCAGTGCATTGCACTTTCCATTTGCTGTTTTAATGAATGAAAATTGAAAAGAAAATGTGTTCCATGTTTATTTTTCGCACATACAAACTCTTGTGAATGTTAATAATCACTACAATTGTTACTGTTTCTCAGTATTTGTTACACGATTATCTGCATTCTCATCAGATATTTCTTGCAGCACACTGTAAAACTTCTTTCAGATTGTTCAATTGTCACGAACTCTTTCCTCACACAACTTTTTATTTATGAAAACTGTATTTCTATTGCACATCTCGTGCATACTTCGTGGTATGTAAGCAACGGAAGTTTATAACAAACATACAATTCAAGAAATTTTTGTATAAACCAATGTCTTAATTTTCGGCAACTTTTCTTTTTTATAAAGCTTTCCATTTAGAAAACTCTGTTCTCTAGAGTAAGGTGTTCCGGATTTTCATGGTTTATTAAATATTATTGTGGTAATTAGAAATAATTACCACAATAGTATTTAATAAACCATGAAAATCCGGAAAGGACTAGAATTGGGTCTCAGGATGGCCGCGCTAGAAGTTATTTTATCTCACCTAGTAGTAGAGTAAGAGTATCACAGGATCCGGTAAAAGATTATTTGATTTTCAAGAACCCAATAAGTTTTATATTTTCGTTATTTTAATTAACGTATATAGGCCTATATAATCAAATATTCCATGCTTTAGTATAAAATATTTCAATATTATTATTTACTTTTTGTCAAATTGTTTTATTAGATTTGCCATGTGACTCGAATTGTTAATAAACTATTACAATATAGAATTTCATATGCTGTATTTCATTCAGAAATTTTTATCTGCATTTATCTGACTATCTAATATATTGGTGAACTAGATTCGCTTTTATGAATTGTTGTAAAGCTTGCGGAAAAGAATGAAGTTTCGTCAGGTAGACAAAAAATGGTATTAGGTAATTTTCTTTTAAATGCTCAGACTGATATTGGTATCAGGAAAATTTTTTAGGGAAACATCGATGAGAATAATGTTATTCTTTCGAATAGACTGTATACAAACTATTACATTTTACTCATAAGAATTTCCAAACAAGAAAACCAGTGGAGCATATGTTCAACATCGATTCGAAAACTCTTATGTATAAAAAAAAACAAGAAATTCATTGAACGAGTACTTAAAATTTCGGCAACGTAATATTCTAGCTACTTAGAAAACGTGTTATATATTTTCTGTATTTGAAAAACTTTAGCTTTAACAAATTCTGTTTGAAGAAAATTGGAAGTTTATTTCAGAAAACTTATTTCTACATTTATTTTGAATTTATTTGTAATTTTTATCTATTTTGAATAAATTACTTGTTTTTATGTCTTTAATTTTTTAATTTTTAAAAGAAAATCAAGTTTATAAAATTAATTTCTATACAAATCTGAATGAAATCATTAAGTTAAATTTAAAAAACGTAAATTATTATTATGATATTACCACAAATTTCAACATCGACTCTTGCTTCGTTTTTGCTTTAATCTGAAATAAATAAAATAAATAATATTAATGAAAATTTTGATTCTTAACATTAAAAAATATAACGTAATATTATCGTAATATATTACGATTTATAAAGATTTATTCTAGTTATTTTATTAAATTTTCTCTTATGATAATAAAAACAAAATATTATTTAAAGTAATTAAAACAAAAATAAACAATTATTAATATTTTAATCATTTTAATACTGTAAATACTTACTACAATATGTTTTAACGAATTCTTGTAACAAATAATATACTGAAAAATAAAATATTTTATACAATTAACAAGGCCAGTATCACTTTTGGCATTTCATAAAATGTTAACATCTAAACTAATATGTGTTGTTATTATTGTAAAATCAGTTTAGTTAAAAACTTACTTTTTTAAATGACTGACAATTTTCTTCTTCACAAAATTTCTTCACTTGAGATTTTCCTGATGGGATAAGGTCAGTGCAATTCGACAAGCTTATATCCATCTAAAATTTCCATAATATCATTTCTTGTTTCAATATTAGAATGTAAGTCCTTACTTAACGTCGTTTCATTATAACGTTGACGAAGAAAAAATATAAATACATTTGTAATCATTTACAGTTGTTGTTGAAGTTTCTTTATAAACACGATTCGATAAGAATATGTTAACCGAATTCTTTTCTAGAGATCTGACCATTAAAATTTGCATTTATTATACTTTTACCTTTTTTTAAATAATGTGAACTTATATCCACATTAACAGAAAAAGACATCGGTTAATGTCAGTATAAGTTGCAAACACGACTTATTCCCATTCACCACTTTTAATTATGTAGCCTCCTCTATGGAATCGCTGATTGTTTGTTTTTGAATGGCGTGGTGATAAGAGATACTTCGTACAATTTTCGCTTTGAAAATATTTATTCTTTATTACTTATCATCAATGAGGCAGATTAAGTCTCCCTACCCATATCACCCACCATCATACACGCCGATTCCTCTTTCTTTAATTTTTTATAACTCTTTCGTGAGAACTAACAGGACTTTTTTCATCAAACCCATTATGTGGGTTCAGTCAGACCCATAATGATATGGCCGAACCATTAATCTTTCTTAAATGTATGTGTAGCTTAAATTTATTTCAATGTTAATGTTAGAAATGTTTCGAGTCGTTATTTAGAAGTATGGTTGTGTTTGTGTCCCGAAATATGCCTATAAGAAATTAACACTTTTTTATATCAATTAGCATATGGTAAAATTGGTTTCTTTGTACGTTGTTTCCCTTAAAGTCACAGTCTCCAAGAACGTATCAACGACGTTAAGTGTGAGGACTTACTGTTAAATATGATTTTAAAATATCGCCTATTTTAAGTAAGATTTATATTGTAGTTATTGTTACGAAATTATTTACACGTAATTGAAAATAGTAAAACGGAAACGTAACTTGACTCCGAATAGGTAGTAAATTTTAAAAAATATTTAAATTGAATCATTAATCATCATCATTTGTTCCACATTATTAATTTTTCATTAATTAGTCTCATTTAACAATACTACAGATGTATGAAGTAGTACTGGAGGTAGAACAGAACAAGTTTTTAATTTTATTGAAAATCGAATAACGGAAATTAAAATTTCGGATGGGAAAGTAACAAATCTCCCCCTTTCTCAAGACTGCTTGCTTAACATGTCTCAAAAAGACTTCTATTTCAATAAAACTAAGAGAATACTGTTTGTGGATAAATTTAGATCTGATGTTTTTCAAAGTAAAGAAAAGGTCTTATACTGTGTAATTTGTGGGGGTAAAATACTTCTTATAAAAGATTTCAAGTAAGCCAACATTTAGATATGGACGATATCCACAGCCGGTATGTTAAAATTAGAAAAGAATGCAAACCTGGACAGACAACTAAATTTCTAATAGAAACGACCATCTAAATGAAAATTTAATTCAGCTTTATGTTTGACATTAATACTGTATTTAGATATCAATTGACAAAACAATTCAATGGAACAATACATAGCAAATGTGATTGTTTGTGTTTTGTCATCTGACAATGCCTCTATATCAGTTTTTCTAACGACGAAAGTTTTAGAAAAATCCAATCATCATAGCATGGCAAAAGTTTTTAATTATGCTTTGGTATTCTGTGGCTCAAAGAAATCCAACATGAGAAAGTACTTCTGTTTATCAGCAGCGCTATTTCTATACATGTTGAAGGTTGAAGAAGATTTAAAAAGCTGATATACGAAGCTTTTATATCTTAAGCTAAGTTCATACTGTATGATTTTTGTGCAATTACGACCTACGAATCCATGACAAGCGACAAAGTCGAACCAATTGAACTTTATTGTTTGTCCTTTGGGAATTAATCTGATGAACACTAAGATCGTAAAGCATCGAAAATGAACAAAAAGTTTTATTGAAAACTTCAGTTATATGACAGTTATATTGGGTTACAGGATATTAAATTAAGTTTGTAATTGTTAAAAAATTTGTTAAGTTATAATTGTAATAAATAAAAATTTGAAGAAAAACTAATTAATTCATTGATTAAAAACAAAATAGTTATTTCTTTAGTTAACTGAAATTATAAAGCACTTTTTTATACTGAAAATATGGTTTCTAAATATAAATGATAAATCGTTTTCGATTAGTTTTCTAGTAAAATTGCTTAGTCTGAACACCTTGTCGGCAGTATGACGTCAGAAGCGATTAACAAAGCGACTTTTGACGCAGTGTGAACTGGACTTTTACTTCTCTAATTATCCTGTGTCTGTATTAAAGTGTATATTCACTAGTAACAAACATTAAGAAAATAATTTTTAAGACATTTATTCGAGTTCAAAAGGCTTATTCCAGGATTGTCTTCCCAGCTTATTGTTTCACTGAGTGATTGGTTGTGGGGATTACTACGCAGACATTTCGATAAAATAAAAAGTGCTGCAGATACCTTTGAACCCAACAATACTGTTGCAATTAGGCATTGCCAAAATTTGCTTAACAGAGGCTCAATAAAATATGATCTTTTATACATTAGATCTATCTTTCATTGCCTTGTTGATACATTGACCAATCTAGAAATTAGAGACCAGCCGCTTAGTAATTCCTTGGATTTAATTCAGCAAGTTTCTAAAAAACTTGAAAATGGATAATGTTCAATAAACAAAACAGTAAAGAACAATCTAAAAGGCATACTTAGGAAAAATTTGGGAATCCAAACTATACAAAATATTTCAGATATACAATCCTTTAAACTGCCACCATTTGTTTCCAGGCCATGGTGAAAAAGTGAGGGTGTCAGTTTATCGAAAACGACATGCAAATAGCAATGTCAAGATAATAAGCATAATTATCACTTTAGTTTATGTTACATTTATTGTTTTTCTCTCTTATTAAAAAACCGGTTCAAAGTAGTTTGAACTACATTATTTCCTCGAGTCATGCAGATAAATGTAGCACTTACCTGCAGAAAATGCCGAATTTTCTCTAAATAAGCATGAGCTTCTTTCGCAGTTACTAGAGGACTCTATGTTATCCTTGAGAATCTTTCAATAACATCGCAGTTCTCTTATCAATACCGTCTGAATTACAACAAAAGGAAATTGTGATTCTACCTTTATTCTTCTTGCAACCTTTCACAGATACATGAGCAATCGTTTTGTCAACTTGTAATCGGTAAAATAAACGGTTTCATGTATGCTGTATACATTTTTCATATCATACCGTTATATTATTGTCGACAGATTAGTTATTCCCGCTTCTAGAACATCCAAATCAACTTCAGCAGTTTCACCGTGTTTCTTTCTCATGACAAGCCATGACGCTGTTTAAATCGATGTAGCCACCCATTGGTGTAACTAAAATTTCTTATATTCATCTTCTGCCAAAATATTTCTGCTGTTTTCTGATCACATCATCTGTAACAGTGCCATTCTTTGCATTTACTTGCGCAATTCAATTCCAGTTTTCTAGTGGCTCTATTTTCTGAATTCATCCACTTTCTTTTTTGGTTTAAAATATATCCTACCATCCTTCTATTTACATTTTTCTTCCAGACAAGAGAAAAGTGACTGGTAATATATTTTTCAAAACAGGATAGATGGATTTCACTATATGCCCAGATTTCTTGTTTTCGCTGACTGTAAGGATGGTTTTCTTCTCCATTGCGTAAAAGCCTAAAACAATCGTAGTACAATATATACTCTACAGAAAGAATTCAGAGCACGAAACGATTTAAACAGTTCCAGACTCGACTGACAAATAAGTATCCTGCTCTTTGTTTGGACCTTGTACAGATCTTAGCCGTCGTAACAGAATTTTAGTTCATAATTATCCTCACATTACTCATTCTATCACATTATTCATCACTCTTCATTATTACATACTTATATTTTATTTCAACTTCTTAAATTTGGAAGTTAACATTACAATAATCGTAAAAAGAAAAGATATCCGTTTAATGTATAACCTATAGGCTATAATGCAAATAAATTTTTTGACAATACGAAATTGTATCAATAAAAAAAAGTGTATTAACAACTGTTTCTGTTTTCAATTCCATCACTTTTCGTCTGAAAACCTTTATGGACTTAGCCGAACCCATGATTGGTTCGACCAGGTCCAATATGGGAGCAGCTGGGTGATGAGAAACAGATCAACACCGAGTCCCTAAGAGCGGTATCCTGACACATTATTCTCTCGATCATCCAACCGTCACAGTTTTTTTAATAATATAATATTTTTTATAAATTATTTTGCTTCAATTAATCCAAATTGCAAAAAATAAATAACATTTAAATACGAAAAAACTAGAAGAAATGTAGCTTATTTCTAAAATAATTATTAAATACAGTTAAAGATACAAGATGGCGCTAAAATTCCAACAGTAGATAAATGCCGTTTTTCTCACATATTTTTGTCCATAAAATCGATCTGTTAATTTAATTAAAACTAAAAATAATTACAGAAATTAAGAGATGGAATATTCATAAAATTTATTATAGATTATTCCAAAGAAATAATCTCACACGTAAAAGAATGATTATAATGAGTTGCTGCAAATAAAATTGCAAAATGGAAAAATCTAACCACATGTTATTTGGATTTTGTTATCATAGATTAATTACTTCTCTCTATTTTAATAAATAATTAGCAACTCATCCAATCAACAAACACGCTTTAATATTTAATAATTTATTGGCATTAGAAAAATTTTCTTGGCGATTAACAATCTTGAAAGTAATTAATTATAATCTAG